TTTTTTTATGACCCCTATTTGCAGGTTTTTAAATTACCAATTTCTTATTTATCTTGTTTGCTGGCTTTTTTTATGCTCAACTATGGACAAAGGATTACTTGATATGGTAGCTAACTTTATACATTGTAATGATAATAAACATAGCTAGTAACTAGCTGAAACAGTTCATGGTGATTTACTGTAGCTATGGCTTATTTGATTGCATTAGTTAGAGATGTAAAATGTTAAGTTGCAGCTGGAGATTGTCATGGAGATTTGTTTGATAATATAGTAATATAGTGAGCATTTATAGTTTCTGTGTAACTAAAATTTCTATGTATATTACATAGCAATGGGCAAATATATTCTTAGACCTTTGTGTATTTTAAAGTCATTTTTCAATGATTGCATGTAATGTAATTTAATATTATGTGTATAGATTTTTTTTACTCATACATACTTCATACATAATATAGGGGTTGGCTCCCTAAAGACACCAATTGTATAGTGTACAAAGATTTAAATATCTACATGTTACAGTCTACTAATGTTCATCTATTACTGGCTGGTAATTCCTGTTTCACTCTGTATTTAAACTTTTTAAAGGAACATTGGATATTGGTAAGAAAGCTAACTTTAAGGGATAATGATAACATTGTTTATACTAGAATTATTAATGTTTTTAGCTTACGTAAAATATAGAGGCAACAAATCAACTTTTCAATACCCCTAAAACCTTTACAGTACTTTATTTAGTGTTCTACAAAAGGTTTGGTTGCAATATACCAAGCCGTATTTGTTGTAGGCTGGCAGAAGAATAATAATTTGGAGAGGATTTTCTTTTCCTTGTAAGTCTAATGTGCATTCTTTTTTTGTGCATTTTTATGTGTGTACAGCCTTAGCAGTGAATAGTAAAGGTTTTAAAGTGTTGTTTGAACAGAATCTTTACTGTTTAAGGTGCTTTGTGCTTGAACATTCTATCAGAGTTTTGTGCAATTCCTTGTGATCCCTATTATGAACCACTACTTTAGTTCATGATACTACAATTTTGCAAAATCTTTGTCAAAATATTCTCACATATTTACCTTTTCACAGTGCTCCATAAATTCTGCCAAGTTCAGTAAGGTATGAGTAACCTCAGGAATTTCTTGAGTGTTCAGAGCCTGTTCAAGACTTCGAATTAACTCTCCCTGTTGGTCTTTATGGAGTTCAGTCCAGCAGCTTAAGAAAGCTGCATTGAAGAGATCCCTATTAAAACAATAAAAGAATATTACCCTTTAGGAACAGCTAGGAACTACTAAACTTTTTTTTATCCATGCAAGTAGATACAAGACTCAACTGGACGAGACTTTTTCATTTTATAAATCACAGTAACTGAATTTCTGAATGCTCTACTTAAAAAAGAAAAACAAAAAGTCAATTAAAGACGTTTATGCAAGAAAACACATACTTCAAAAATCTTATGTTCATCAGCACAATTCAGCTGTACAGAAAATTTTGTTTATTTTGATTACTCATAAAATGTTTCCAGATAATTTATTTCATTCATTGAAAAAACAGAATTTCTACATTGAAGTAAAAATACATAAAGAAATTCATGCAAGTATTATAACAAAGTATTTTTTAATTGATAGGCCACTATAATATAAAATAATAAACTATTTTCTTGCATTTGAACTGATCATCAAGAAAGTGTTTTCATACGATATTAACCCTATCAGCACGGGTATCCTTTACTGTGCATGATAAGGTTTTTGTGTATTACATTCAAATTTTATTAAACTACTTTTTGTTTATGTTATACCAATTATTATAGCATAAAATCATAGCTAATAATCCATATTTTAATAGTATATAAGTTTTAAGTTCTTAATTCTATAAGGCAATATTTTAAGAAATACTGAATTTCCCCTAGTGTGACATTTTCTCTAGGTATCTTCTCTTCTCTATTTCATCCATCACCCCTCCAGTAACTATGAAATTCAACATAAATTACTCACTATAAAATCATCATTGCTCAGAGAAATCATAGTTTTTATAGCCTTAAATTTTGTTTGATTACAGAGTTATAAAATAGAAAATGAGACCCCTCTTGCCACACCCACCTGTCACATCCTGTCTTTAAGGATTTGTTAATAGTTTTCTCTCTCACCTTTAATTATATATTACCTATAACCACTATAAAGCCAAGGTTTTCATCTATCAAATAACATATTCTATTACATTGTCTTCTGAACACAGAATAGCCAATTTCACTTGTAATACAACTTTGGTTCCCAAACCACAACAGACTAGCTTGGATGAATTTGTAACATCTCTTGTTGCATAGTTAGAAAGCCAGAAAAATATTGATTGTTAGAGGAAATTGTCTGCTTTTTTGCATGTTATTATTCTATTTTCTTTGGTGCTTTATTTAGTTAAATAAAAATTATTTAATGCACTACTACTATTAGTATAAAAAAAGTGGGGCTAAGTGTCATCAATAATCGATGACAAAAAAAGCACGAATATCC